TGTGTCATACAAAAATGTTCTTTCAAAAAAACAACAACAATTATGAAACAATTGCCAACGAAAAAGACACACACGTGATGAAGGTAAAGCGCTATCGCTACCTGCTTTTCCGATATGTGAAAAGAATAAATTTTTTGTAATAAAGAATTTCTTGACGAATACTAAAATATTAAAGGTACTTCTAATTGGTCCACACAAAATTTTCACATTTCGTGGTTATTGACGAAACAAACTAAAATGTTAATCCTTATTAAAAAACCATAATCCCCTGAAAAATTTCCTGTCCACAAACTTTAATTTTAAAAGAACATTTTATGTAGTTAGAAAATAGGCAAACAATATTTACCTCTTTTTTATGACCAAAATTTTATGATAATCACCAATAAATTGGGATTGTTCAATATATATTTCTTTTTTTCTATTCATTTGTTGTTGATGTCTATGCACATTTTGTTATTGAACTCAATTTTATGTTTACGCGGTGTTTGTTACTTCAAAATTACAGCACACACAAAAACACCCCTCACCGTCGAAAGTAACACACACACTCTCTCTCAATTTAAGCACACGTACACAAATGACACACAATTTGACGATGACACGGTTCGATGCCATCGATGACACCCTGCATTTATGGAGAACACCATGCAAATATTCGAGTCAGCCATGCCACGATCGAACATTAGACAATGGCACACATGAATCAAAATGGGGGATGTTGTTGGTTGTCATTGCCTATCAAATACATAGCGCATGATTGAGTAGACAAAGTCAGTGTGTCGAAAAAAGCATAATTCATACAATTCGTCTTGTGCAGGCCTTTAATAGAAACACGAAAAATATTTTGATAGAAAATTTTAACTCGGCATTCATTATTCAAAAAAAAAAAAAAAAAAAAAAAAAAAAAAAAAAGGGGGAGGGAGTCTTCCCACTCCATTTAAATTACATTGCGATGCAAACTTTAAAAAGCCGAACATGTATCTTCTATTTTTAGCTGGACTTTATTAAGCTATTGGGGATATCCTGTAATTATATTTTTTTTGTGTTGCATAATGTAATTTAAATTTAAAAATTTTGGAAATTTAATGTAACTGATTCGGTAAATTTATAAACTTTAGTTTGGTAAAAATTGTCGAGTTTTATTGAATTTTTCTTCAGTGGTAAGTGTTCATATCCAGATTGCGGGAAAGTATATTTATGTTAGGGAACGGTTCCAAATACCGGTTATATTTGACCCGAAATTCCGGGTCCAAGATCTGAGTTAGATACGGACATACTAAACTGATACTGACAATACAGGGTGAGATTAAAAAACTGCAATAAAGTCAAGTTTCTACATTTTTTTTTTAAATTTTACTGAATGAAAGCAAAAAAAGACGGAAATATCATCAAATTTTAGAATAAGTTTAGATTTATTCGATTTGGTCACCTTTGGCAGGAATCAAGGCACATGCTGCCCTAATGTTGTTCTGTGGTAGTTTGGCCCATTCCCGGCGAGGGCTTGCCTGAGGTGATCGACACTTTATTATTTTTTAGTGCCAGCCTTGCTTTCCAAAATACTCCAGTCACAATAGTCCAACGGATTGGTATCCGCAGGTTTTGTTGGCCATTGTGCGCTGGAAATGAAGCGAGGAACCTCATTTTGGCGCGTGCTGAGTGCGATGGTGCTGAGTCTTGTTGGAGTGTCCAAGTTCTGCGGCCAAATTGTATTTTGAGCTTAAGGCTTTAATACAACCTCCAGAATATTTTCGCAATAATATTCAGCATTTATTCTGATGCCACGGTCGATTAATAAGAGCGGTGAGCGACCATCGGCTGTTATGGCGGCCCACGCAATCTCCATGGCCGGCGCATGAGTTCTGGTGGCCAACGGAAGATGCACATTTTCAGCTGACCTCTTTGACAAGTAAACACGATCATTTTGTTTGTTTATAAATTGCTGGACAACGAATGTTTTCTCATCAGAGATAACCAAATTCGGCAGATTACCACTTTCGGCCAAGCGAAGCAACTCTTTAGCTCTTTTCACTCTATGTTCTTTCTGTTCTTGCACTTTTTGGAATTTCATTGGCATTATCCCGAGTTCATTTTTTCCGAATGGAATATTGCGATTTGTTCAGCTCACAAGCCATTTTTCGGCCACTTTGACGCGGGTTTCCATCAAGTAGCTTATTTACTTTTCGAACCAATTCTGATGATGTTGCTGCAATTTAAACAGCTTTCGGACGAGTGGCTTAGAAATGACAGCAGTCTGAAGTTGTTTGCAGCTTTTTTATCTCACCCTGTATAGCCTTTGAAAGCCAATTAAAATACCTATCCAACAAGTGGCCACATGATAGATGGAACAGAACATAACAAAACCGGATTTTCCGGGTTTAAAGACCCATATCTCCTGTTTCAGGAAAGATAACAGCAATTGTAGTATTTTGTGAAGATAGAAATGTAAGCCCACCCTTTTCATTTTTTGGGGATTTTATGAAAACTCGGTTCCGAAAAATCGATCATCTAGTTGAAACTCCCGAATCTTAAATAACCCCATAATTTGACCACATTTTGGGTAGATATTTAACTTTTAAATTATACCTATATTATCAATATCGGTTTAGTGCAACCGGATCCAACACCAGTCTTGGGCCCAGATTTTTGGGGCAAATATCCAGCTCCATTCCCAAGAAAAAAATACTTTCCCGGAATCAGGGTAAAAATACCTACTTTTGGAAGAATTAAAAAAAAAAAAACTGAGAGTTTTTACTAAAGTTGTTCCCCGGTTTGGCCATAACACAAGTCTTCCTTTAATGAAAAGTATAGAAAATTTAGTCAGGCTTTCTTATAACCCTTATATAATGGCAGCTCATAAACGTTCCTTTAAATGATTTGCATCGCATGTCACTGCCAATGGCAAAAAACTGTTAAAAGTTCGGCCCGTCCGAATTTAACTTCTTTCTTATTTGTTTTCATTCTAAGACCTATTTTAGATATATCAAAATGGTTCTTGGATTATTTACAGATTAATCGCATCTTTCAAATTGATTTCAATACACTAATTTTGTTTTTTTATACCCTACAACACTTTGTGTTGGGGGTATTATAAGTTTGATTGGGCCAGAATTTATGTAACACCTCGAAATATTGGTTTCCCATATAGGAAAGTATATATGGATCTTCCTAGCTCGCCGAGCTGAGTCGATCTAGCTATGTATGTCCGTCCGTCCGTCTGTCCATGTTAATTTGTAATCACTCTACAGGTCGCAATTATGGCCCGATCTTCACGAAATTTAAAATGTAGGTGGGGTTAATGTCAGAATAGAACCCTATTTCTTTTGGAGATGATCGCCAAATGTTTAGGGGTTGAAATGGACCAAATACTGGAAAAATGTCGGATTTTGCAGTAGCTATACAGGTCGCAATTATAGACCAATCGGAATTTCGCATGTAGCTAGAGTTTAGGGCGGGGAAGAAGCCTACCAATTTAGGTGGTCATCGGATAATATTTAGCGGGTAAAATAGACCATATCTTTTTTGTTGAAAAAAATTGAAAATTTTTCATTAAACCGCGAATATTTTAAATCCTGGCGAAATCACAAAGCCATGACAAGGTTACTTCTGACCTTTACATTGATGTTAAGATCCAACAAATCGAATATATAGCAAAATATGTGCGATATATATGTCTATCAAAGAAGATATGCTTGAAAGATCTATTTTATGTCGAGAACGGCTGAACTGATTTCGACAGTTCTCATTAATTCAGAATGGCCTCTTGGCAGAAAAGAAAAAACGCCTAAAAAATCGCATAAAAATATCTCTCTAAAGATGAAAATATTGATTTTGTAAATTTTCTCATATTTTTTTTCAATTTTGTCATATTTTTGGCATATTTCCATTTTGAATTAAACATTTGGTAATATTTCTACAGCTAACAAAACTAAGTAGTAAGGATATCAGGATATCATATACAGATCGCATTTATGGCCCGATCCTTACGAAATTTTGCATGAGGATAAAATGAGGGTCAGAATAGAAGCCTACTCATTTTGCAGATGATCGCTATATATTTAGGGGTTGAAATGGACCAAAAAACTGCAAAATTGTCAGCAGGACGTAATTATCGCCCGATCCTCACGCACATTTGAATGGGGGTTACCGGACATTCGAAAGCCAAGCAGTTTTGAATGACCATCCAAAAATATTGAATGTGTGAAGGAGTTTGCCAACTTTTGTAGACAAAATACGAAAATGTCCATTCATGTGACTTTTTAGAGAATTCACAAATACAGGAAAGACGCACTTCTGACTATTTCGTTAAAGCTGATTTCGTTGAAGAATACAGTCAAATGTCTGTATCTCATACAGATTCGTTTCAGTCAAAAACCAGTAATAAATGTTAATCTTTTGCCACTTCTGAGAGATTATAGGTCTTTGGGAAATATTGGTTCCATTTACGTGTAACATTTACCAATAAATTGGAAATGAGCAAATTAGTATAAGTTGCTATTATTCGAAAATTAGAGAACGAAACCTGATGGTTTTTTTTTATTATTTGTCACAATATCTTTTGGAATTCTATCGAGTATCTCGCCTATATAAACTGTATCGTTTATTATAGTGTTGTAGGGTATTCAACGGTCGGCCCCGCTCGACTGTAGCCTTTGCTTACTTGTTTTTTAATAGAGCTTTTTATTCCTTTGTAGGCATTGTGATAATATTGAATAGATTGAAAATTTAATTCCGTCTCTATATTGAGCTAATTTTTTTCAGCTCTCGTTGCTCGGCTAAAAATTAAACCGATCTAACACTACACCACACACAAACATACAATTTTGACACCCAATGTTTTGATTACTAAGTTTTTTTTTACGACCAAAAAAATAAATTGAGCTCAATTTAAAATAATTTATATTTATTATAAAATCACAAGCAAATGACGATTTGGTTGATTTAATATTTCACGTGTTTTTTATTAAATTTATTTTCCCCACATAATATTTTAAAATTATTACAAATTTCCACTTTAGATTTTTGTTTAGATTTTTTTTTTTCACATCGACAATGTGTGAATTGATCACAAAACATCTGATTCGAATAAACATCAATAAATTTGGCATAAATTTTCTCGCTGTCTTTATTGTTGTTGCTGTTGTTGTCACATCTATTTGTTTACATTTTACGTCACAACATTACAAATTACATCAATAAACCGAAAACTCTTCCTCTTTTTTTTATTATTTTCTATTCGGTTCGCTGTTATTTCTGTGTTGTTTGTTTTGTGTTTTTATGCTCGCTCGCATCAAACAAGAAAAACACCGCGTATCCGCGTATGAAAATATATCCAACGTCAGATCAGAGACTGTTTGCCAGATTCTACCTCTGATACATGCAGAGCATTCTTTGTTGTTGGTTGGGCGATTGCCCATTCCATTGTTGTTGTTTGAATTTATGTCGCAGCCAGCGTGAGAGCGAACGTGCTCTATTGAGGCTTAGGGGTTGAGGCAACGGCGGAATCATCCCAAAAGCAAGATCATCGGAGCTGTTGTGTTGTCGCGGCCGTTTGTGTCAACGTTTTTTTTTTTTTTTTTTTTTTTTTTTTTTTTTTTTTGAGGAGTGGAGCACACAACAATGATGTGTGAATGTCGCCAATGTGAGTTGCATCGTTGTTAGATATTAATTGTGGTCTCTCATCTTTATTATCATAGAAGTTGAGCCACATGAAGAGAAACAGTGGCAGGCAAAAGTTGTCACACTTAAAATTGTAATTACTTTTTACTTTATTACACTGTGTGATAAAACTTGATTTTTTTTTTTCAATAATTTCAGGCAAACTTGAATAGTATAGGCGTTTAGGAAATGTACATCCAGGGGTAACCCAGAAAGGGCAGCGACATTCGGAACATTTTTAAAATTTGAAAAAAAAAATTGAGATTAAGATTTCTTGGAATCGAAGCATTTTAGGTATATTGTGTCATTGGCAAAATTACTGATGATAATCTGGGGAATATTTTTGTGAAACAAATTAACCCTCAGTCAATAAAGGGGTCTTTCAGATGCTTTTCTTCAAAAACGTTCAAAAACACCATAAATAAGCGATCGTATCAAATGAAAATATTCTACAAAATTGCTTGCGATAAAATTATACTACAGGTCACGGAAAATACCAAAATTCTAAATCTTATCGAAACGCCAGGAATTCATGTATATTAAAAACTCATTTTAGGGTTAAAGCCGTACTTAATGTGAGTTTATGCGAAATCCTGCTAAAAGGCATAATTTTAGAAGAATGGCTCTAAAGACAAAAAAAAAAAATCCTCATCAAATTTCACTATGTCACTAAGTTTGTACCAAAAGTGTTCGGAAAGTACTAAAAATCAAATACTTTGCATTGGAAAACAGAATGGGCTGGAATTCTGAGATTTCGAATGAGAGTCTCTAATGGAGGGCAAAATAGATGTACCAAAGGGTTTTTGGATATTCGAACTTTTCTCTCAAGTTCTCAAAAGGTATCATTTGGTATTATGTGAACGGATAGAGATAAAAATTGTAAATCCGGTATGAGAATCAAGATTGGAACGTAAGTTTGATGTATGGAGGTTGTTTTGGAAATTTGTAGTAAGTGTGTGAACTGTACTAAATGGTACCACATTTGGTTTAGGATGAACGGATGAAGGGGAATTTTTGAAATTTTACATTGGGGTCCCTATTGGTGGTAGGGTTGTAATAAAGATGTGGCTTTGATATTGGGTACTACAGTGGCACAGTTGCATAGTACTAAATTTGGTATTAAGTAAAGGAATGAATCTGAAATCCCGAAACTTGAAATAGATGTCACTAAAAGTCAGTGTGTTTAAGATATGGAGGTGGCTTTATAAATGAGTCCTTTATTTGTACGAAAAGTACTAAGTGGTCCAAATATAGTATTTGGTAAAGAGATAGGCCTGAAATCCTTAAATTTGTTACTCAGGACTCTGTTGCTATCTGCAATTGAGATCTGGATGTGGTTTTGGTGATGTGTACTATAATTGCACGAAAAGCACTAAATAGTACTAGATTTGGTATTGGGTGAGAGAATAGAGATGGAATATCGAAACTTGATTAATAGGTCTTTATTGGTAGCTGGGATTGAGATATGGAGGTAGTTTTGACAATATGTACTATAAATGTATGAAAAGTACTAAATAGTACTAAATTTGGTATTGGGTGGTGGGATAGGTCGGGAATCCTCAATTTTAATATTGAGATCTCTGTTTGCATTTGGAATTGAGATATGGATATAGTTTTGGAAATGTATACTATCATTTACGAAAAGTACTAAATAGTACTATATTTAGTACAATTTGATAGTGAATCGGAAATGTTGTATTGGGTTCGTTGTTCATGTGTAGCACGGACATTTGAAGGTGATTTCGGATAAGTGTACCGCAATTGTACGAAAATTACTAAATAGTTCTAAATTTGGTATTAGGTGATGGCATAGATCTGAAATCCTGAAATTTGAAATAGATGTCTATGTTGCTATCTGTGGCATATGAAGCGTTTTTGGGAATGCGTCTTACATTTGTACGAAAAGTACTAAATGGTACTAAATTTGGTATTGGGTGGAACTCTCAAATTTGTTATTAAGGTCTCTGTTAGTATTTGGAATTGGGATATGAAGTTGTTTTGGAAATGTGTACTATCATTGTACGAGAAGTACTAAATGGTACTAAATTTGGTATTGTTGAAGGAATAGATCAGAAATCTTGAAATTTGATATTGATGTCTCGATTGACGTATGTGGTTAAGATTTGGAGGTGATTTCACAAATGTGTACTATGATTGTCCAAAAATTACTAAGTGGTACCAAATTGGGATTGGGTAAAGTGATGGAGCTGGAATTTGATATTTGGAAAAAATAAAAGATAGCAACAGAGGCCTTCTTTTTTTTCCCAAAAAGTAAAAACTTGAATAATATACAAAATCTTGAAAGTCTCGTAATTTAGTACGATGTATGAAATATTGCTAAACATTTTTTGTAAAACTGAACAAAGTGTGCATTTTTAGTGCTAAAAAGGCCTAACGAATCTAAAATTTTAAGGTGGACTTTTCGCTGAAGAAGTAGCGGATAATTACTGCTAAATTAACACGTTTCTATTCTTAGTCAAAATCCTCCATGATACTTGATTTCTTTGGTGGAATTGTTAAAGGAAAAAAACATTCCAGATCAAATTTATATTGGAGGCCTCTGAACCAAAGAAATTTGTATGCTTAATGTGTACCATACATTGTAATAAAGTGCTATTTATAAAGTCCCTGTTTTAAATTGAGGAAAATCCCATTAAGCTGCTATATTTAAAGCAGAACTATGAAGTACATTTCGTCATCTCATTCCATACATATTTATTTTTTATTTAAAGACGCGGTTTTCTTATCAATAAAAAAAAAAAACAAAAATAATTTCTCCCATCCCTGTATGGTAACAGATGACTCGCTGCGCTTCAGAACTCTTTGTTCCTTTTATTTTATTTTATTTTATTAATATGCGCATTTTTGTATTACACTCTGTGTGTTTGCATATTATTTTACCACAATTGAATATTGTTTCTTTTTTTCTTGAGTCATAGACGATACCTACTTCAAACACACATTGTTCTTGGGAATCCAATAATTGTTTGTTAATCGTCTTGAAATGACGTTGGGTTTGCGATGTTATTTACGTCAATATTAATTCCATACGTCATTTTTTTTTTCATATGAACGAGGGAAATTTTCATAATTTTGCATATGGCCATAAATTTGAGCATAAGAAGTGAATTTTTTTATTTATTGGCCGAAATGTGCTTAAATTGAATTTAGAGAAAAGAGAAGAGTTTGTTCGCAGCGAAAAACAAATGTATAGGGTATTTTGTGTTCATATAGGAACATTTTATTTTTTGAAGACGGAAGAACTTTAACAGCACTTCCATCATAGGACTGTTTTTATACCCTACACCACAAGGTGGTCAGGGTATTATGTCTTTGTGCATTTGTTTGTAACAGGCAAAAGGAAACGAGATAGACCCATTTTTCCTTTTGAAGATCTTTTAAAGAATAGAATCACATTCTGAGTCGATTTATGCATGTCCGTCCGTCCGTCTGTCCATGTATTTTTGTAAACAAAGTACAGGTCGCATTTATTGCCCGATCCAGATGAAATTTTGCACATATCATTTGTTTGGCCCAAGGACGAACCCTATTGAAATTGGAGATAATCGGTCAAAATTTAGATATAGTTCCCATGTATATCTTCGTCCGATTTGCCCTTTACTGTGCACCAAACGTGTAATATCAGCCCGAATTGTATGGAATTTTGCACAAATTAGGCCTGAAAATATGTATGCCAAATTTGATCGAAATCGGTTCAGATATAGCTATAGCTCCCATATATATTGTTCATCCGATTTGTTATTTTTGTCCACCGCCGCCGTAATATGCACTCTGCAACAACAATATTTAGGGAAATATATCAAATACAGCTCAGAAAAACCTTTGCTAAATTTTATCGAGATCGGTTCAGATTTGGATATAGCTCCCATTTATAACTTCGGCCGATTTACCTTTTATTGTGCACCAAACGTCAAATATTTGTCGAAATGGGATGGAATTTGGCACATACGACCGAATTGAGTCTAGAAGCTAGTATGTCAAATTTGGTGAAGATCGGTTCAGATATAGCTATAGCCTCCATATATATTATTCATCCGATTTGTTATATTTGTTACCCACAACCGTAATATGCACTCCGTAACAACGATATTCAGGGAAATATATCAAATACAGCTCAGAAATATCTTTGCCAAATTTTATCGAGATCGGTTCAGATTTGGATATAGCTCCCATATATATTTATCCGATTTCAAATTAATTGTGCACCAAATGGTCAATACAAGTCCGAATTTAAAAGATACAAATGCTTCGGCATGTTTAGTCCTTTGAACTTTAAATTATAATTATAATCATAGCGTGTATGATTGAATTCTCCCATAAAAACTTTTAATTGTTATGTGGAGCTCTACTAAATTAGCAAAGTGGTGTAGGGTATCATAAAGTCGGCCCCGCCCGACTTTAAGACTTTCTTTACTGGTTTTTTATATGTGGGAAATCTCGCACAGGTCACAGAAGAAATACATATGATGTGCCATAAAAATATTTTGAAAGGTTTTTATAAAAGAGAACATAAAATAGTTTCATCAGGTCTTCTATAGACAGAAGACCAGTAATAGGCTTTGTAAAGATTGAAACAATTATTAGGTTTCCTATAGATAGAAAATCATCGTCTTCTGTGGATTGAAGACATTTAAAATAATAAAAATATACAATTTTTAAAAAGTCCCTTATGTCGTTTGTAATGCAATACCCTCAGCGGGTAGATCTTCCGAAGATAGAAGACCTACAGGGTGAGATGAAAAACTACAACCAACTTCAGACTGCTGTCATTTCTAAGCCACTCGTCCGGACAGCTGTTAAAATTATTCCAGTAACATCTCATTATATTGTTTGCAAGCGCACAAAAACATTTTGGTGAGAATTTTCCAGAAAAAAAGTTATTCGTGATGTAATTTAAGCGTGATAGTGTGATTGCTTTATGTGATTTCTGGAAAACACAAGTGGCTATCGTTAGAGCACTCCAGCATTTTAATGTGAAAAAATCTTTTGCGTCTCCTACCATTGCTCGTGATGATGATAGCGTAGCCCGACGTCAAGAAAGTGGACGGAAGAAAACAGCAACATCAACAGAAATGGTTCGAAAAGTAAAGAAGCGACTTGATTGAAACCCGCGT